ACAGCAAACTTCCAATAAACACCATATCAACTAAACCATTAATTGTCAAAATTTATACCACCCACTTTTGATGCCATGTGTTCTAATCACTTCAATTTTGCACATCAAGAAAGCCATTGAGACAGCTCGTCTCATAATCTCACAAAAAAGTAGGGAAAACAATAATTGGCTGTGGGATACTCAGTACCAGAAAATAACTCTGCTCGATATGGTATAAAAAATATTCTCTAAATCCTGCTCACTAGATCTCTCTAGCAAAACTCCCATTCTTCCTTCACCTTGGCACAGTTATACTTATGAGGCTCTCTACATTTCAACTCGAGAATAAGACATCCTATAACAATCAAGGTAGTCTGAGCATCAAGTAGGTTTAATTCCATCCAGTTGCACAATAAGTCAAATTTCTTAGTATGTGGATTACGCAATTTGATTGACTGTTTTTTTCAAATTTTTATTGTCTTTTGGTGTTGCCGTCCAATAAGCTTCTCATCTCTCCCGAATTTTATCCTACGCCCACTCGTATGACATCTAGTCTTAATCATTTTCATCAATCAAATTCAAAATATGCGCACAACAACACATTATTGAAATAAACAAGTTACCACCCAACCCAAAACGATGTATTTACTCAAGCTATTCTATCACATGGTAAGCATGCTATCCATTGTGGAGCAATTATCAACACATAACAGTAGAGATTTTTCTATCAAGATTCCTATTCCATCAAACCACTCGAGCAATAGTATCACAAAGAACTTTCTTGTGTGTAGACATTGAATCATAAAAAGACCTAAATATAATATTTATGAACAAGTATTTAAAACATGCAGATTGAACTGATAAGATAAAAACTTTTAAATATATTTGCCAAATTACATATATACCTCAAAATGCCGACTTTGCCAATGTCCTATGAATCATCAATAAATTGTTTCGGTTTGGACATGCCATGATCATTTCTTTTGAATTGCTAATAGTCCCACATATAGTGTGATTGCCACCCTACTTTTATTATGCTCTACCAACTCAAATACTTCACCCTCTTCATAATGCATAAATCTTTTAAAATATCACACTTTATCGTTTATTTCGAGAAGGTACTTTTAAATCATAGTTGTTGGCAGTGCTGCTAAATTATGTTTAAAAACCAACATAGTCTATTCTTTTTCGTAAAAAATGGGATATTCATGAAATATATTATGCATGTTGAACAACTCTTTCCTTACAAAATCTTGATAAAATAATATAGGATTCATTTTTGTTCCTCTTATTAAAGTTGTTAGTTTAAAACTTTTTGCCCTCATTGTCCATCACTTTTCCTAGTACAACTCTTTAAAATGATTATGCAAATGCCTAGTTCCATTTTTTGAATCACCTTCCAAGATGCTATTACAACCAATACATATGTTTGTTGTCTTAAAAGTTTCCCACGCAACGCTATTTTTCTTTAGTTCCTCCACAAGTTAGACATCTTCTTCTAAAGTCAATAACATTTGATTTTAGAGAGGCGAGACGATGAGAGTTGGGTAGGTGGCATTATTGTTGTGAGGTATCCGCTCCTCAAAGGTACTTGAGAGTTTAGGCTTATGCACATTTTAACCTTTTATAAAAATAATATGAAATAAAATAAGCAGAACTAACCCACTATAACATAAACACTATCACATATTAAACATTAAACCCACCTACCTTTGAATACTTAATTTGGAATTAGACAGCCAAACGTAGATGGCCAAACTAAATTACCCATGTTTATAACACAAATACACTCATCATGGCCAGACTAAGTTAGACACCAAAGGTAGACAGCCCCAACACACATACCACCACTGTTATTGATACCATACATACAATACATCATATCTACATACAACATACCCCTTTTGAACCAATTTGGGAATTAGACAAACCATAGCGCAGATGCAAACTAAAATTCATAAACTTCCATCTACAAAAATTATTTTAACATAATGAGATAGAAAATGAATTGAGGCCATTAGTTTTATATAAAATAGAAAAATATTTACGAATAACTATGTGTTATGATCCCTTTATTTTAAAACACAAAAACTCATTATTGTATCACAATTTATAAAATAATTTATTGTCATATCAATTCAGAAAAAAATAAGAATTTCATTATAAAAGATTATCTAATATCACATTTTTCGTTATATTTACTATGAATATCATACTTCAATTATTACCTTTAATAAACCTAGACCTTTTCTTTCTTCTTTTCAATTTTTCTGACATTTTTTAGCTTTAAACACCAGAAAAGCCAATAAATGTAATATAAACCTTATCAACCCCCCAAACTTTCACAAGTTCTTCTACCCTCTCAACCCTCGACCTTTTATCCTCTAAATCCAACACTACAATCTTAATTTTTACAAAGCATTCAGCCATATAACATAGCTATTCTTACTTTCAAACACACCAACCTTGTTCCTAACACATGACACTTTTAAATCTCAATCTCCAAGTCTCACCTGTTTCAAATCTTCATATTGGTCTGGTTTCATTGATTTTTTCTGCTCAGTATTTACACTCAATATGTGTCTTATAATTATTAGTATATAATACTATATATGTATGATGTAAAACCTTTAGATCAAAATCCCTAAATCGAAAAGCTAGATCGACTTTTTAAAAGAACATAAAACAAGATAGAATTATTATCTTTAACGATGAGAGAGAGAAAGAGAGAGAGGAGAGAGAGTAGCCCTTGGAAATCGGCGTGTGAGCCGGCAGACACGTATCAAGCAGAATGCAACAACCACTAGATCGACCTTCTTTTGAAAGAACAAATAGAGTACGAATAGATTAAATGAGAGAATAGAGATGAGAGAGAGAGAAGAAGAGAGAGAGCTTGGAACAATTCTGGGTGAGGGATCATCAGTCTAACCGTGTTTAGATGAGAAGACAAGAGGGAGCGATCGTGTGTTGTTCTGTGATCGGTCTGTTTGTCAACCAAACCCAAAAGACATATACATACATATAAATGATATGGGCAGGAGGTATAAAAAGGATAGTTTTACAAGTCGAGGCGGAAAGGATCGACGGTCGGGGTCTATGGTGTTCAGTGGTCTGAGGCAGACCAGTGTCAGGATCGTGGAAACATACTCCGTCCCCCTGCACCGACATTCATCGGGTTTTATTTCAATTATTCATCCTGTCTCGGGGGCAACACTTGTCAGGAAAAGCCTTACTCAAACGGGGATTGGTTGGATCGCGGTCCCATGGGTCGGTTCCAAATTCCATCCCACTGTTTAATTTCTTAAAGAAGCAGGCCGCATTTTGCATCACATTAGTGACATAAGTCATCTCATCTATCTACCACGTTGACTATTCACAACCACTTTAGGTCATTTAAAAGTATTAGTTTTAACATTCTCACCCCACAGGTATCACTATATAAAGGGAAATGCAAGAGGGATTTACCTCTATAGTGACTCACCCGTTACACGCAGCTAGGTTGTTCTTTTGAACCTAGATCTTGGGATCTCTAGTAAACTAGGTTGGGTTTTTTGTTCTAATAACAATTGCCAAAGGCCTTAACCCCATTTCTCTTGACGACTTTTCTACTTACTCTTGATTTAACCCTTTGGTTAATGAATCCGTAATATTGTCTTTAGACTTTACACATTCTATAGAGACAACTCTTTTAGAGAGTAGTTGTCGTATGAAATTATATACGATGGATATGTCTAGACTTTTCATTATATATATTACTCTGTGCCCGTTTAATCGTTGATTGACTATCATAATGAATACAGATAGTGGACACAGGATTTGACCAATGAGGAATGTCTTTAATGAACTAGAGTAGCCATTTAGCTTATTTCGTTGCTTTATCTAAAGCAATAAACTCAGATTCCATCGTTGATCTCGATATACATGTCTACTTGGAAGATTTCCAATATATGACTGCCTTTCTAAGGGTAAATACATAACCACTAGTGAATTTAGAGTCCTTTATACCAGATATCTAATTCCCGTCACTATAACCTTTTAGTACCACTGGGTATCTAGTGTAATGCAAACCATAATCCCGGGTATAGCATAAATAACCTAACACTCACATAATGTCCTTCCAATGAATAGCATTAGGATTACTCGTGTATCTACTAAACCTGTTAACGGAGTAGGTTATATCCGGCCTTGTACAGCTCATCAGATACATCAAACTTCTAACAACCCAAGAATATTCTAGCTGAGAGACACTCTTATTATTGTTCTTGGCTAAATGTAGACTCAAGTCTACCAGTATCCTTGACACACTTGTATCTGATTTACTAAATTTCTCAAGTATCTTATCAATATAATGAGACTGAGAAAGTACCATACCGCCAGATGTTTTGGTAATCTTAATACCTAGAATCACATTTGCAAAGCCCATATATTTCATATCAAATTTAGAGTTTAACAACTTTTTGGTAGTCCTAATCATCTCATCATTACTACTAACAATGAATATGTCGTCAACTTATAGACTCAAAATGACATAATCTTCGTCAGTCACTTTGACACATACACATTTGTCACACTCGTTGATTCTAAACTCACTTTACAACATAGCGTTGTCAAATTTCTTATGCCATTGCTTAGACACTTGCTTCAAACCACATAATGAATTGATAAGCTTATAGACTTTCTTACCTTGCCCAGTAGTTGAAAACCCCTTGAGTTGCTCCATATAGATTTCTTCATCTAAATCTCCATTTAAGAAAGTTGCCTTTATATTCATTTGATGTATCTCCAGACCACGCAAGGTTGCTATCGCAATCACCATGCGAATGGATGTTATCCTTGTCACAAGTGAATATGTATCAAAATAATCCAAGCCTTCTTGTTGTTTGTATCGTTTGATAACTAGTATAACTTTATACTTATCAATTGACCCATCAACTTTTATCTTTCCCCTAAAGATCCACTTACTCCCGAAAGCCTTGCTGTTTGGGGGTAAATCAACCAACTCCCAAGTGTGGTTTTGTAAGATGGAGCCAATTTCACTTTTAATCGCTTCTTTCCACAAGGAACTTTCTAGTGAAGTCACAGCTTCGTGGAAAGTTCGAGACTCATCTTTCACCATATAAGTCAAGAAATCTTGACCAAAGGACTTGGAAGTCCTAGCCTTTTTCCCCTTCTTGGCTTAACTACCTCTTCATCTTGATCACTCTTACTAGCATTATCTTTAAGTTCCTTTCCAGAACTTTGATCCTCTCTTCGGGTTCAACAAGGAAACACGTCCTCAAAAAAGGACACAATCCTTGACACTATGATGGCATTCTTGTGTATATTTGAAATATTAGGATTTTGCACAAAAAACCTATATGCACTACTATTCTGTGATAACTAATGAATATACAATCCGCAATTTTCGAGCCTATCTTAACCTGCTTAGGTATAGGTATCACCACTTTAACAAGGCACCCCCACATTCGTAAGAAATTATAAGAAGGCTTGTAGCCTTTCCATAATTCGTACGGGGTCTTGTCCACTTTCTTTTGAGGTATACTATTTAGAATGTAATTCGTAGAGAGAATCGTTTTTCCCTCACAAGTTCTGTGGCAACCTAGAACTAATTAACATTGCATTCATCATCTCTTTCAATGTTCCTATTTTTCCGCTCAGCAACACCATTTGACTAAGGGGAAGAGGCGTTGTATTTTGGTGGATAATTCCAAATTGAGCACAAATCTCAATAAACGGTGATTCATATTCTCGATTGCGATTATTTCTCAAATCCTTAATCTTCAGGCTCAATTGATTCTCAACTTCATTCTTACAAAGATTAAATTTATCAATCACTTCATCTTTGCTTTTAAGCAAATACACATAACAAAATTTAGTGCAATCATCAATAAAAGTGATGAAATACTTGTTGCCACCTTGAGATTGTACGACTTTTAAGTCACACACATCACTATGCACTAAATCTAAAGGCTCGGTACTTCTCTCAACAGGATGAAATAAAGTCCAAGTCAATTTTGCTTCTACACAAGTTTCACATTTGTGATTCATGATCTAACTTGATTAATTTATGCAAACAATCAAAATTTACAAGACCTAATTTACCATGCCATAATTATGAGGACTCAAGCATATAAGCAGAATAATAAACCTTCTCATTAACTTTAGGGATAATAGTTATTACATTTAACTTGAACATACCACCCGACATATATCCCTTCCCCACATCAAATTCAAAAACCATGCGGAACCATGCTTACTTAGGAGAGACCACGAGACAAGGTTTTTGTGAATGTCTGACACAAACAGGACATTGTTCAGAGTTAGCTCTTTTTCAGGACTACCTTACTCTTTCTTCTCAACAATTGAAGTTGAAGAATTTCCCATAAACAGGCTCAAAAGTTGTGAACATCTTCTTCTCCACAAAGATGTGGCGAATAGAGGGGTGTATGGAGGGGCTGCTTCTCAGTATCCCATTTACGGCGCTGGTGCTGGTGGGATGATGACAGGTAGCGGCGGCAGCAGCAGCAGCGGCAGCAGCAGCAGCAGCAGCGGCAGCTGCCTTCTACCCATATCTGAATTTCGGAGAAGGGACTGATGGAACAGGTGGAGGAGGAGGAGGAGCTGCCACCAACTACACGACAGCGGCAGTTGGACAAGGGTATGGTGTGCAGTACCCACACCACCTCTTCCAGTACTCAGCAGCAGCAGCAGCCATGAACTCAACTGGTGGCGCCTACGGTCCACATCACTATGCTGCTCCTGTTTCTCTTGCACCCACTCCTCCTTTGCAATCAGGTTTGTATTCTTATTCACATACTATCTTTCATACCCACCCACACCCTTTATTTTAGTTATTTAATTATGGGTCATATTATGATTTTCTTTCCTCCTTTTCTTCTTTATTATTATTTTTATTTAAAAATATTCTTACACAAAAATTCCCACAAAATTTTCCACCATATTGATATAGCAGTGTTAAGCATTATTACATAAAACACTTTTTTTGTGCTTAGGGATACTTGTTACTTGTTAGCAAAATCCTTTTAAAGTGACAAAGTGCATTACAACCACATTATCTTTATACCTGTTTATCGTGTTGTATGTGTGTATATATATTTTAGTTAATTAAAATTTCCTTTGGAAGATAAGATTGTGGTAATTGCATGATGATGATGATGATTCTATTATATTATATTATTTGTCATAAAAAGTATTAGATGATCTTTGGGTGCTGCTTGGTGTACCTTATCAGCCTTGTTTTTGATGTGTAGTCTGTTTTGTGACAACGTAGTTGGGATGGGTTGGTCTTGTTTTGATTACTCTCTACACACTCTTCCTTTTTGTTTCTTTTTATTGGTGTTCGCTTTGTTTTGTGTGTGTTTGTTGTTACATTTTACCTACATCAATAATAAAGTTTTGTTTTTTGCTGATAAAAAAAATAAAAAGTATTAGATGATGTTTTGTGTATCATTTTATCTTATTTTGTTTTGAACACACACACAACTATATATTAGTGGCTGCTGGCAAAGAGGTACTAATATCTTTGACAGTTTGTTTTGCTGTGCCACAGGCGTGACGATGGCTCTCCATGCACCAATGCCTCATCGTTGAGAGATTCATTGGATTTTGAACTTACCTACTCCAGTCTGAGTACTCCTTGATCATCAGAAGGATCTGAAAAACCTTTGGCCTAACCATGGTTCTCTTTTTTCATCTCTCTCTTTTCTTTCTCTCTCTCTCATGGAGCTGGAGGTCCATGCTTCACATTTGGGCATGCATTATTACCACACATAAAAGCTCCCCATAGGGGCTAAATGTTTGGAAACAATGTTTTTTATATCTTCCCTATTGCTTTTGCTTCTCTTGGAAGGAAAGGTTCCAACAAGAGAACCAAATTAAGCAAGTGCATGTGCATGTTGTTGTTACCAACTTCAAGAGCTAAGTTGGTCACATACTTCTCTCTAACTTTGGCCTTGGAAAGGCCAAGCAAACACACAGTTCAAAAGGCTAGCCCTGGAAAGGCTAAGTAAGCACTTAAATGGCTCACTGGAAAGAAAAAAAAAATGTAAGTAAATTCAAGAATAAAATGGCAATCAAGTCTTTAAACTTCACAAAATGTTGATCTTGAAATGGCTTATCCCTCCAACTTTAGATGTAGTATATATATCATGGGCATGGGGATGCCCAAAACTCTTTTTTTCTTTTCTTTTTTTTTCTTTTACATTTCATAGTTCAACCCTAGTCTTAGGATTTTTGAAATTGTGACTGGTCATGTCTATTTTAAAAGCTTTACCAACTTCACTTTTCAACTCTCTTCTCTCTGTCACATAATATTTGTCTAACTAACCAACCAACCAACAAACCAATCAAACCATCTTTCCTTGGTGGTAAGGGGAGGTAATCTTACTGACAGTAGTGTAGGTGTATTTTTGTTTGTAAATTCATTGTGGCTAAACTTTGTGGAAGTTTTAGCCCTAGCTGCTACTTTCACTAAGTTTAAATAGGAGGAAGGTAGTCTTAGTTTCTTGCATTTAGCTTTTTACCAACCTTTTTTTTAAAAGAGCTCTATTAATGGCTATAGAGCTCCAATGCATATAAGGAGTTGTAACCCAAGGAGATATTTTGGGACACTCTTGGTTTCATCTCCTCTTAACTCTTCATCAAACCTGGTTAGGACTCAGGTGATCATCA